ATGACATAAAGAAAAGTTGAAACCCAGAGCCCCACAGGGGAAAAGTGAGTGTGTTCAAACATGCAACTGTTCACTGGAAAGAGGAAGGAGAACTGTGACTCCGAACGTGCTTCAGTCTCCAGGAGACCCAGGCGCAGACTCGCAGACGCCAAGTTGTTTTCTAATTACTTCGCTAAGCTCTGGGGGCCAGGAAGACAGCGCCAGGCGTCGGGTGCAGCTTGCATATGGGAAGCCCAGCTTCTACCCCTGGCCTTACTGGGTCCCCTGAACACTACTGAGAGCACCACACACTCAAAAGCTTAATTACTAAACTTTTAAGATAAAAAAACAAACAAACCGAAAACCTCTAGCATCTGAATGGTACAGAGTACAAAAAAAATAGACTGACCTCAGAAGTTCCAGAAGCAGCATTTATTTATCTGTAGTCCCAGCAGTGCTGGGGACTACTCCTGGCTTCTCGCTCAGGTCACTCCAGGTGGTGAACAGGGTGCGGGGTGCTGCGGATGGAATCCAGACTGCCTGCACGTGAAGCTGCACGCCAGCCCACTGAGCTCTCTCCAGCACCCAGCGGCAGCACTTAATGGTCGGAAATAACTGAGCAACATTTATAAAGTTCTGAGAAAATGAAAATATGCTCCAGGAATTTTATACATGAATTGCAATTCAAATGAAGTGCAAGAGGTAAACATTATCAAGTACCTAAAAAACTCAGGAATCAAAGAATCAGTAAATGTTCTTTATTAATAGTAAAATCCAACCAATAAAGTTTCAAATCAGGGGCTGGAGAGATAGCACAGCGGGTAGAGCGTTTGCCTTGCACGCGGCAGACCCGGGTTCGAGTCCCAGCATCCCATATGGTTCCCTGAGCACTGCCAGGAGTAACTCCTGAGAGCAGGGCCAGGAGGAACCCCTGTGCATTGCCGGGTGTAACCCCAAAAGAAAAAAAAATAAAGTTTCAAATCAAAGCAAAACTCATGAATATATAATTGATTTTAAAACTTTTATCCATTAAAAAAAAAAAAGAAAAACAGGAACTGGAGAGATAGGACAGGGTATAAGGTACTTGTCTTGCATGGGGCTGTCCTGGTTTGACCCCTGCAACTGTATATGTGCATCTGAGCACAACCAGGAGTGATCACTGAGCACAGCGTCAGGAGTAACCCTGAGCACCACCAGACATGACCTCACCCCCCCCAAAATACTATTTTTTTTAAAAAAAGGAATGAAATATTAGGTATGTTCCACAACACGAATCTTGAGAATATTATGCTAAGTGAAAGAAGACAGAAATAAGACTACAGATGTAGTATTTATAGATGCCCAATTGAATCCCCAAATGGATTAGTGCCCAAAAGTAGAGAGAATGTATTGGGGAAATTGCCTGCCATGGACACAGAGAGAGGACAAGGATTGGGGGGGGTGGGAATATACGGGGATATTGGTGGTGGAAAGTGTGCACTGGTGGAGGGATGGGTATTTAATCATTGTACAGCTGAATCTCGAACATGAAAGCTTTCTAACTGTATCTCATGGTGAATATATATATATATATATATATATATATATATATATATATAAATAAAATGTGGAGTTCACGCCCAATTCAATCAGCTTAATCAATGGTTGAATAAAAAGTAGTACTCCTACATCAAAAAAGATAAAAAGAAAGAACCCATCTTACTGCACTAATAAAAATGCCTTCTTTTTGGTATTAGTCACTATCACTGTCCTTTCATTGTTCATCGATTTGCTTGAGCAGGCCCAGTAATATTGTGAGACTTGTTACTGTGTTTGGCATATCGAACACATCACGGGTAGCTTGCTAGGCTTTGCCATGCAGGCAAGATACTCTCGGTAGCTTGCTGGGCTCTCCAAGAGGAGCGGAGGAATTGAACTCGGATTGGCCATGTTGGCTGCGTGCAAGGCAAATGACCTACCTGCTGTGCTATCGCTCCAGCCCTTGGAATTAGTTAAAAAAAATAGTGTTTATATATAACATATATGCACACCTGTGAGTATATGTTATATGTGAATAAGTGTATTTTATGGCTGTAGTTTTAGAGAATGTCCAGAATATGCAAATGCAGAATAAAGTAAGCAGGTGAGTGGTGGTCTGCTCTGGGTAGGTGGACAGGGAAGTGGCCACCACCAGATGTGAGGCTTCTTTTAATGATTTTTTAAATAAGGTTTCTTCTCATGATGTTGATAAAAATATTCTGAAGTTAGTGATGAAGACTGTAAAATCTTGTGAATATATTAAAAGCCACTGATGTATCCTTTTTGTTTATGAGTTTTTTGGGTCAACACTAGTACTGTGCAGAGGATAGTCCTGGCTCTGTGGTCAGGAGTGACCCTGGTGGTGCCCAGGGAGCCCAAGGAGGGGCCAGCTCTCATACGGGCAGCTGCTTACCAGGCTAACACCTTATCTTATCTCCAGGCACCTTATCTTATCTCTGGCCTTGATTTGAGTATTTTAAAAGGGTAAGTTTTGTGACAAAGATATGTGAATCACCTCAATAAAACTTATGAAAATAACAAGACTATTTTTTCAAGGATATGGTACTGCCAGCAGGTAAACCTGTACCTGTGAGCGAGAGCATCAGCAGCCTCTGGTGCTTTCAGGCTTTCCAACACCCCAAAATTGCCACAGTGCTTCTAACTAGACGCCAACAACTCAAGACCAAGTTTCCAGAGAAATTAAATGGCCAGAAGTTAGCTACATGGGAGCCATGCCCACAAACCACTAGATCAGCTATACAAGCTCATTTATCAGCCTTGATTCAGACACCCATAAATAAATCTTGAAAGAGAGCAAAAGCTGCAGTTAGTCTTGGACCCGCACAAAGCTGAACTGACTGAGGTAAATTGGAGGGGGATGGATCAGCCTGGGGCCTGCCCAAGCAGAGCCCCTGGCAACCTCTTGCTCCCGCAATTCAAAATCACCACCATGCCCCAGGCCAGACTCCACTGTCTCAGGACGGACCTCACTGAGATATTAACCTGTTGAAAATTTGGGTATGCGGGTTTTGTGACTTAAATCTCTAGGCTTTCTTGGGGATGGGGTGGGCTACCTCCCCCACACTTCCCTATATTCCTAGTAGCACTGGCAGTCACCCCCACAAACCAACTCCAGCGCCACCAGGTAAGCGCTTCTACCAGCCTTGCTTCAGATATCATAAATAAATCTCGAAAGTGATCAAAAGCTGCAATCTCAGGCCCGCACAAGGCTGAACAGATCACGGTAAACCAGAGGTGCGTTAGCCTGGAGCTGGACCAAGCAGAATCCCTGGCAACCTCTTGCTGTCACAATCCAAAAGTGCCACCGTACCCCCAGCCAGACTCCACTGTCTCAGGGCAGTCCTCACTAAGATGTAATCTGCTGAAGATTTAGGTATGCGGGTTTTGTGACTGAAATCTCCAGGCTTTCTTGATGCTACCTCCCCCTACCTCCCTGTTCTTCTGGAAGAAGCCTCGGCAGTCCCATCCACACCCCAGAGCCACCACCAGTCAAAAAGCTACTCTAGCTTCACCTTCCTGATAAAATTACTGAACGCCCTGAACAAACACCATGACTTCTTAGTACCTGCATTGCAAACCATAATGCACAAAAGGAAAAGGAGAGAGAAAGAAGAAAAGTGCCTCCCACAGAGGGAGGCTGGAGGTGGGGAATGGGGTGTTGGGGGATGGTGGGAGGGAAACGGGGGACATTGGGGGTGAGAAATGTACACTGGTAGAGGGATGGGTGCTGGATCACTGACTGAAACCCAATCACGAACCATAGTAATAGTCTATCTCATGGATATTCAATAAAATTTTTTTTAAAAAATGTAATGTGGAGCTCATGCTCACTTTAGTCAGCTTTATCAGTGGCTGAGTAAAGAGCAGTAGACCTACATTAAAAAAAAAAAAGACTGTTGTTCAAAAGAATATCACCAAAGAGAAAGTGTACAAGATGGAGAAGGAAGCACTGAGAGCCCTATGGGAGCCAAGGCAGCAGTCAATGCACACGCTCAATTCTGGGTCTTGACAGGGGGAGCCAGGCACAGCCAGTCCACCAAGCACATAGGACCGCTGAGTTAAGGTTCAAATGTGTTTCCGAAAACCCTGGGAGCCCTTCCTGACTAACCCTTCAAAGGAATGAAAAGAAAGCAGAGGTAAGAGACAGCCATCTACTCTTGCTACACTTACATCATTTCCTCCACAGGTGTTCATGTTCTATATGCAGATTTTTTAATAATGTGACATCAAAATTGTACATGAACATAGTTGCCAGATGTCAAAATATCCTGCAGCCTTCATATGTTCTGTGTGTGCTACAAGGATTGTTTTCAGAATCTCTTCATTTACCTTCTTGCTACTTGCAGCTCGGCTCCAAATCTGTGTAAGGTGATGGGGTCTTTCCCTGACAGTTCTGTGATCAGCTTGTTTAATATTTCGTGGTACCTTGCTCTGAATCTATTTCTGAAATCTAGATGGTGCCCTGCCACACATTAGTCAAATACTATGTCTGGTGCAGCGAAGAGCTTGGGCAGTCCTATCTAACACACACACGGAAGGAAGGGTCTGGAAGCAAAGGACAGGAAGACTGGCACTGCTGATGCAGGCTATGGAAACGAGAACAGGGCGATGCCTCTCCCTCTGGCCCAGGGCACTCAACTGTGGCTTCACAGCTGAGACTGGAAGATTAGGAGGAACAAGCCTGCAGAGATGATTCCAGGGAAGGAACTGTGGATTGTTTTGTTCTGCCAAGTTTTGTTTTTAAGGCTCCTGAAGACACAAATGTCCACAGCGCTGGTGCAGGGCAGCTTTGGGCTCCGGTCTGTTCCCAAACTACAGGCTCACCATTCTCCCGAATTACCGCTTGCCTGTGTCTACTCCATCGACTTCTCTATTTTTCTTACTACATTAAGTCATAAATAATCATTCCCTTACTTTTTAATACACCATCCCCCACATGCCACAACCCACCAATTGTGGTCTCTTGGGGACCCATAAATCACCTGGGAAAGAATCAATTGCCCATGAAACGTGTGCACAAATTTTCTTAAAACTGTAAAGTAGGCAGCATCTCCAAGTCTTCTGGTGAGGAACCGGAGAAGGAAATAGCCCTAGAAGAAAGGGAAGAGGGGAGAAGTGAGATCTGTCTCACAGCCAGCCCTGAGCCCCACCAGACGACCTGTATGAATTCCAAAGCTGTCTGGGCAGTCCCCAGCTGCCCCTCCAGCCAGGCCGGGCTGGAGGTCAAGGGTGACTGCTTTTTCAACTCCTCTGTGTTTTCCCTTGGTTTCCGGGGACGGCCCCTGTGAGCCAAAAGTTCAGCCTGGCCTCTCCCCCCTGTGTGGAAAGGCTCCCAGCTTGTCACTCCTGTCAGCTCCCACTCTCCCAAGCTGCTGTGGAGCAGCGAGTGGGCAGCTATGGGAAGACAAGGGCTCTACTTCCTCTAATCCTTCCACAGGTGGCCTCTAGGAGTGAGCTCCACATCGGGGCAACGGCTAAGACATGCAGGGTTCACCTCAGCCCCAGCAAGGTCGGGCCTGAGCACAGCTAGGGGCAGCCTCTATTTAAAAGAATAAAAACACAGACAATAAGCTAAATGTGCTGGCCTCATTTTGGGGGGCATGGAGTTCTTTAACTACCTGTCAGAGAACCCACCTACGTGTCATGACAATGCTGATGATTTTCAAAACAGGTCTGTGTGGCGCTACTAAACTTTAGTGTATCCATGCGGACCATAGGAGATCTGCGCCCACTGGTCTCTGTGCATGGATGTACTCACCTTTAAGTAATGGACCTGCATGAAGACCTTCTCTGGATTGAGCCCGTGTTTGACGACAGATGACCCTGAGTCATTCACATGGCCCGTTTTCTCTTTATGGGGTCTAAAATGATGCAGAAAAAATTTCATTAAATACAGGACATTCTTAACTAATTAGGTCACAATATTGTCTTATTTCCTATTTTTAGAGTTCCTCAAAAGGCACTTAATTCTATTGAATCATATAGGGTATAATTTAAAACAGTTTACATTATAAATTCATCTATGGAACAAGGAGGGATTTATATTTGGGTTGGCAACCTGAGGTTGACTATTGGCAACATTTTATATTATCTTTTCCAAGATTAAAGCTTGCCAGACCCTCAAGCAATTTAAGCTCCAGTATGAATTATTTAACAACCTATACACTTTTCTTCTGGTACGAATGGTAGACTGGGAAATGCAATGGAAAAATGCAGTTTTACTTGGAAGAGTTAGGAACCACCCCCACCCCTCAAATTCTGAAAGCCCCAATGTATCCGTGTCTCTTAATTTACAGATGGTAATTAAGGCTCCTTTAGGAAATATTTATATGCAGGAGCCATTTGAGAAGCACAGAAACAAACACAGAAGTCACAGGAGCTGTTACATTGAGGAGACAAGAACTTTAGCAGCTGCATGCTTCAATTTTCTTATTTCACAGAGAAGGGAAACTGAGGCATACAGGAGCGAATGAATGCAGGGGTCTGGAGACTTATTCTGGCTATGGAAACACCAGAATTGAAAACAATGTCTCATTGTCTCTCAGGGTTTTTTTCCATTGGGCTCAACAGTTTTCAGTATTTTTTCAATTTCCTTTAATAAAATGTAATTGTGTTACAGCAAAGCCTCAGCAATGAGCTAAAATCAAAATACATGAGAAGATATTTGTTGCTTTGAGCGGTTCTAAGCTCATCGCTTACAGAGCAAACATTGAGGAGCAGGTGCTGGGCTGAAGGAAGGACAAAGACCAAGGAAAGAGTCTGCACAGCACAGATGGGGGGTCTGGGGGCAGCAGGTCCAAGAAGCAAGTGGCAGACTGGGCACTTCTGAGGAGAGGAGAGCACCAATCACTCAATGGAGGGAAGAGTCATCACCTAACAGACCTACCAGGCTTCCAAATGTGGGGGGGGGGGGGGACACCAGGGAGAGGGAGAGAAGGAGGGGGTGGGGAGAGAAAGGGAGAGATGGAGAAAGAGAAAGGGAGACTGGGGGTATGGTGTCGCCAGCAGGTCAATCTATACCTGTGAGGCGAATGCATCAGCAGCCTCATGACACCTTCAGACTTCCAGATACCCCAAAATTGCTGCTGTGCCTTTGGCCAGACCCCAAAACTTGGGGCAAAGTTTACTAAGAAAGTAAACAGCCAAAAGTTAGGTATGTGGGAGACACACCCACAAACCACCTCCAGGTCAGCTATATAATTGGAGACACGGCCCCTCTGGTTCCTGATCGAACTGCTTAATGGCCATGATCCCAGAGACTCAGAAACAAATCCTGAAACCCAACAGCTTTTGGCAGAAATGCGTCCAGTCCCTGCAGTAGGTTACCGGCGCTGGGCCACCCCAGGTGGGAATAGATTTCATGCCTTAGCCTCTTCCCCCTGGCGACCTCGTGGCCGCCATCTTCCAGAGACCACTGGACAGTCAGGTTTGGGCCCACAGTGACGAGACACGCGGGGCCTCACGGGATGGGGTGGAGCCGGCTCTCTCCTCCCTATCCCAAGGAGACCCTGAGTCCCTGCCTTTTACAAAAGGCCTTTCTGGCTCCTGATCAAGCTGCTTAACAGCCATGATCCAAGAGACTCAGGAACAAATCTCGGAACTCAGCAGGTTTTGGCCAAAATCCTTCCGGATTTAATTGTTAAAATTTCGGAATTTCAAAATTGTGTAGCCACTACTGCAGCCACACTACATCATATGTTATTCATAACAAGCAATAGAAACAAATTGTCTACTGTTGCCTTTTTGGCAGATCTGAATGCTGGGGTAAAATCCCAAATAATAATGGTGGGTCTGGTGTCAAAATATTGAATGTAATCAAAGTAGAGAGAGAGTAATGTGGAAATCATGTGCCCCACAGGTAGGGGGAGGGTGTGGGATGAGGGTATACTGGGGTTTTGGGGGGTGGAGAATGGGCACTGGTGAAGGTACGGGTGTTTCGTTGTATGACCAAGACTTAAAACCGAAAGGTTTGTAACTGCTCTCATGGTGATTCAATAAATAAAATTATAAAAAATAAAACAAAAAGTAAGGTGGAGTTCATGCCCAATTCAAGCAGCTAATTGGTGGCTGAATAAATAGCAGTACTCCTACATGAAAAAAAAAACAACAGAGAAAGGAACAGAGAGAAAAGGAGAGAGAGAGACAAAGGGGGGAGAGAGAAAGGGAGAGAGGGGTAGAGAGAGGGGTAGAGAGAGGGAGACAGGGAGAGAGGGGGAGTGAGGAGTGGAGTGGGAGAGAGACGGAGGGAGGGAAGGAGGGAGAGGGTGAGGGAAGGAGGGAGGGTGAGGGTGAGGAAGGGAAAGGGACATGGGGAGAGGAAGGGAGAGGGTTGGAGGGAGGGAAGGAGAGAAGGAGGGAGGGAGGGAGGGAGAGGGAGAGAGGAAAAGTGAGGGTGGAGGGAGGGGAGAGAGTTGGAGGGAGAGGAAGAGAGAGGGAGGGAGGGAAGGAGAGAGAGGGGAAAGAGAGGAAGGAGAGGAGGCGAAAGGGAGGGAGGGAAAGACAGGGAGAGGGAGAGGGAGATAGGGAGGGAGGGGGAAAGAGAGATGGAGAGCGAGAGAGGGCGAGGACGAGAGAGAGCAGAGAGAGAGAGAGAGAGAGACAGAGAGAGACAGAGAGAGAGAGAGCGAGCAAGCACTCACATTCAAGTTCTCTCCTGTCTGCCCTTAAGAGGACCCTGATGCCCTCAAACCACAGCTTCAAGGAGCAGCTCATGCCCCTACACTGCCCTGCATTTATCTGATAAAGGTGGATTTTCATACATCCAAAGATTAAGATGGGGTACTGAAGAAAGGGGGAAAATAAATGCAAATAGGCCTGGAAATGCAAATTGTTACCCAGAAGGAAAACAAACACTCAGCAGGAGTCAGTACTAGTGGCAAATACCTGGTGCAATATACAGGTCTTCTGAAGTGATGTCTGGAGTGAAGGAAGAGAGGGTGATGGAACTGTAAGAGTTATTTGCCGTCAAGGAGTTCAGGCTCTACAAGAATAACAAGCATTGCTACGGGGGACTCATGCATTATTTGTGGGAACTGATGTTTGGTGTGGTGCAAAGGCCGGTGGGAAGAGCGAGAGATGACGGGAAGTGCTTCTGTCGCTAGAGTCAGCAGCTGGAGAGCAGTGAGCTCAGAGCTCCCCTCCTTAACACACTCCTGCATGTCTCTTTGTTTATCAAATGGAAGGAAGGTGGTTCCACAGTCTTTCTGAGGCATCTGACAAGATGATGTCTGTATTGTGCTTACAGAAGCACTCAAAAAGTGTTACTGAGGAGGGAACAAAAATTATGGGATTTGAAGCAGTAGAACTGCACTGAGAAGTTATATGATATTGAGTTTAAAAAGCGGAGTAGAAACTGGATTAATGCTCCTCCTCCCCCACCCCCACCCCCATCCCAATCATCCAATCAACAGAGCAGGAGCAACAGCTGCCTTACCAATTCTTCACAGGTACAGCCTGAGTGCTGTTCAGGCACTGCATTTAGAGAGGGCGTTGTGATTGACTAGAATCAAGGGTTGGGCCCCAAAAGGCAAACATGCTCCCAAACTTGCGGCTCCTATGACAAATTTAACCAAAATCCATAGCCTAGTGGCCAGGAAAAGAAACAAGAGTTAAGAAATATGGATTATGTCTGGACACGGCTGCACTGGGTCAGGCTTGGGGGAAGGTGGAAGCCGTGAGCTGAGGAAGGTCGGTCTCACCATGGACTGTCCCTCAGCTGAGGAAGGCTGGTCTCACCATGGATTATTCTTGAGGGAAGCATTTTCTTGGTAGGGAGCCACGAGTGACCAAGGTAGAAGTGACAGATATGGAAGGGACGGAAAATTACTTCCAGGGTCGTCGCAAACCCTAGCATGCCGTGATTTTTAAGAGATAAAAAGTCCTGAACCTATTTTAAACTACAGCATTAGCGAGTAAAATATTCGCCATTTTCCCATTGAGTCAATAGGCTTGCTATGGAGTCCTGGTCTAGAAAAATTAGAATAGAGGGGGGTGATTCTGACTAAAAACAGAATGAATGAAAGGAAATTTAATTGAATTTTATTCAAGCACAAATACTGGGGGATAGATTTACTTAGAATATAGGGCGTGAGTAACACAAGGCTTTCTTTGTTTTTTTTTTTTTTTGCAGAAGACAGTGCGGGGGTGGGGGTGGGGGATTGAGGGGGGAAGAACTCTACACATGGAATGTACCCGAACAGACAGCTTCAAGAAACCAGGTTAAAGGGTCTCTCTCGACTTGGGGATAAGGTGGTTACACGGCATGCAGGTGGTCACACAGCTGCACATACCATACAGAGAATATCTGAAACTGATGGGAAGCAAAAGGAGGTAAATGCAAAGAAAAAAAAAAAGAAAAGAAAAGAAAACTTTTTTCTACTGCAGCAAAAATACTCATGACTTCATCCTGGAAAGAGGCAAATGAGACAGACATGGCTTCCTCTTCACAAGAGGAGATTTGCAGCACATTTGAAACACCAACAACATGTGTGGTGCCATGTGCCAAGATAATGGAAAGGATCCTCTCATCTCATGACTCAAAGAGAAGCAGATGGTGTGTGGGAGCTGGGGAAAGAATGCTCTCTCGGAGAAGGGAGCCGCACGGGGCCGGGGGCCGCAGGAGGAGGCGCGTGCGTGGGAGTCCAGCCCACAGCAGGGGCCGGACGGCACTGGGCAGCGGGGCCTTCCCTAGCACTAGGGACAATGTCAGAACGCATTTGTTCATTTTTATCTCTTGAAAATGTTTTTTGTTTATTTCAGAAGGCTAGCATCTACTGCTAAGGTGTACAGGGTCACACACATTCATACAACAGACAATTCGGTGAACACAGAATTCTTAGATTTTAAATGATGTTATTCAGGA